TTCCCTACAAAATTGCTAGTGAAAATGGAAAAATCAAATGTTTTTCTAGTTTTATGAAGAACCTAACTAATAGAAAGTTGTCCTAAAAAAAAAAACTGATAGAAAGTTCATTATCGACTTATATGGCAAATTTTCGCTTGTTATTTGCTAAATAAAGTCGAGATTTGGTTGAGTGGAGACATCAAAATAATCAACCCACACAACGAGATACAGCCTCAGTGATTTGGCAGAAGAGCCTCGAACTCAATTATACCTTTGCAAAGTGAGCACAATGCCATTTTCTCTGAATAATATTGTCCATACATTCTTATTTAGTCCAATCTCATGTCAGACATAAGCATCATCAGCTTTCTCAACATGTTAACCCATCAAGGCATCAAGCGTTATCGATGCATAAACGGAATTTTCATTCTCTGCGGTTGAAATTTCAACTGCACAGAAACGGGGTCGCATACGTCAGCGGTAACCTATGGGGATAAGATTTTTCTTTTTTAAACTAGGATACAGTTTGAAAATCTTATCCTAATTTTGTTAAGCAGTATCCTAATATTTTTTTTAGGTGAATAGACTTATTCAATTTCATCAACAATATGGTGTGCAATACAAGAGGGTTGATAAAGACTAGCAAAAGATTTGAAGGCTCAAGCCAAATTATGAGGCACCAAATTAACTTGTCGCCAAACAAAACAAACTCTATAGTCAGAACTAGTGTTTATTAACTGCCTGCACCGCAATAGAATCAAACCGAATTCTGTGTGATCCGGTGTGTGCTGTAGAGTGTACACCCATTCGCAACTCTCATGTTAATAACTTCTTGTATTCTTTATCATTATTTAAAATTTGTAAGAATTTATAAAATTAAGAGGGAGACTTATTAAATATTAAATGTGGTTTAAAATAAATTATAATTTTTGATAAATTTTAGCCGATAATAGTGTTTAAAAGAATGTTAGAATCCTGTAAAATAAAATGTTAGAAATGTATTGCTTGCGATTCTCTTATTTCATTAAGTAATTGAAATCCTATAATAGAAAAAAATATATTAACTTTTATAGATTACAAATAGATAAATTTGTAAATATTTTATTTAAAATATATGAAATATAATTTAAAAATAGAATGAAATGATAATGTAAATTAAATAAATATTTAACAAACTTAAAATAACGTATATTATCTCGTGTCATAATAAAATGTATTTTTTTTTTGTGTATGGAAAATACCTTCAAATTACAGTCTAAAGTTAATCCAGACCTACAAATAGGCATGGTAATCTAACTCGCTTCTGTGGGTACCTACCCGAAGCCGCCCCAATTTGGACGGAGAAAACCCGTGTTTATCGGGTTTAGGTTCCGGTTCGGATTTTCCCTGATTGATAAAATCGGGGCGGGGACGGAGATGTTAATACCCGCCCCCGTTCCGCTTAATAATATAATTAAAAAATTATATATATATATATATATATATATATAAACTAAAAATGTCTATATTAAACTATAAAAAATAAATTTTAAGTCCTTTGGTATTAAATTGATGGTAGGGATGATAAATTTTAAGCACGCATAACTTTTATGAACAGTAGAATGAGTAAAATTGATTTGCCTTTGGTCCTTTGGTATTAAATGACGGAATTGGGAAAAATAATTGTGTCTTGGATCGACTTTGCACCATTGATGATTCTTACAGCATCAACTATTAAATATTTATATGCAAATATTTATATTATTTTACTTTACTTTTATTTTTATTTTAAATTTGTTCATATTTATTTAAAAGAAAAAAAGAAAGAAAAGACAAAAAAAAGGTAGGAGCGGGGGCGGGGGCGAGGGCGGGGCGAGGAAACCTGAATCCCGCCAGTGACGGGGATGGGTACCCAGATTTTACCCCCAGCAGGTATTGGAGGCGGGGGCAAGGGTGGGGAACGTAAAACCTGCCCCCGCCCTGCCCCGCCCCATTGCCATGCCTACCCACAAATTATGATACCGATAAGAAAATTTTCGAATTTTGCGAGGAGTTCGTGTTCATTATTTTTCTTTGGTTCATTCCTACTAATTAAAAGTTCCCAGAATTAAGGACACATCATATTCATATACAAATCTTCAAAGATATATGTACCTTGTGAATAGTCGCAATATTGGAAAAAGAAGAAAGAAAATATCAATATTGACAATATGTAATAAATTTGGATAAGAGAAAATTAATTTTTTATTCTTATTTCTAAAAGGAATGATTATATGAAGTATATATAAGCTCATAAGGTGATTATAACAACCTAAAACAAACTTTATCTCTTTCTATCATATTATCATCTCATAACAGACTCATCAATTAATTCAAATTTATTTATCTCATTACTCCCCCTCAAGTTGGAGAGTAAAGATTTTGAACTCCCAACTTGGACAACAGGGAAAGAAATTGTCGTTGTCCCAACTTGTTGTTGTGCAGTAGATGAATAATCAGTAGCTATTGTTCCTGTCTGAATGTGTTCTCGAACGAAGTGATAATCCACTTCAATGTGTTTGGTACGCTCATGGAAAACGGGGTTGGCCGCTATATGAAGTGTTGATTGATTGTCATAGAACAACGATATAGGACCATTAAATTGAACTTGAAGTGAAAAGAAGAGACTCCTTAACCAAACAATCTCACTAGTTGCATGTGCCATGGCTCTATATTCTGCCTCACTTGATGGTCAGAAGACTGTGGGTTGTTTCTTTGTTTTCCATGAAACTGGAATTGCTCCTAACTTCATAATAAATCCAGAAACTAACTTCCTTGTTGTTGGACAAGAGGCCTAATCTGAATCACAGTATCCCATGAGTTGTAAATCATTATTTTTTGGCAGTAAAATACCTTGTCCAGGGGAGGATTTTAGATAGCAAAGAACTCGTGTGGCAGCATCCCAGTGTGCTTGTCGAGGTTCCTACATAAATTAACTTAATACATGAAGCGAATAAGTAATTTCCGGTCTGGTATTAGTGAGATAAATCAGTCGTCCAACTAGACGTCTATATTGAGGAGGAAACCCACTAGGTTTGCAATCCAGTAGTCCACATTCCTTAAGAATATCAAGTGTATATTTATGTTGACAAAGAAATAAACCAGTGTTCCCATGAGAGAGTTCTAGACCAAGAAAATATTTAAGCTTTCCAAGATCTTTCATTTGGAAACATTCTATAAGATAAGCCTTAAAATTATTGCATGTTGAAGTATCATTGCTAGCTATAACCAAGTCATCAACATAAAATAATGTGGCAAGAAAAATGGAACCAAATGAGTATGTAAATAGGTTATGATCAACATGGCTTTGTTTGAAACCATATTGAATAAAAGCTTGTGAGAGTTTTCCATACCAATTTCTAGAAGCTTGCCTAAGTCCATAAAGGGATTTTCGTAAGCGACAAATATGTTTTGAATTAGGAACAACATAATTTGGAAGGGTAACCATATACACCTCTTCATTAAGATCTCCATGAAGAAATGCATTACTAACATCCATTTGGTGAAGTTCCCAATTCTTAACTTCTTCTATTGATAACAAACAATGAACAATAGTCATTTTGGCCACTGGAGCAAAAGTCTCTTTGAAGTCTTCTCCTTCAACTTGCGTGTATCCTTTTGCAACAAGACGTACCTTGTATTTGTCAATTTCACCATTGCCCGTATATTTAATTTTGTAGACCCATTTGCATCCCACTAATTTCTTGCCTTCTGGGAGAGGTTCTAGACTCCAAGTATTATTGTCTTCTAAAGCCTTGATGCTCTCTAAAGCCATGGCCTTACGTCGATGTGGAGATAGCACTGCTTGAGAGAATGTTTTGGGCTCATCATGAGACAAGATGGCTGTAAGAAAAACTTTATGTGAATTAGAAAAATTATTATAATTAATATATTGTGATATTGGATAAACCTTACCATGAGAAGACGTTGGATTAGATGCACTACATGATGGGTATTGAATAACTGCTCCACAATAATAATCCCTCAAATATGATGGTGGTTGCCTATTCCGTGGGACCCATGATGTGGAATAACCATCAGAATTTGTAACTGAATTTGCATTGATTTCATTTTCAAAAAATTGATTGTGTAACCGAATCCTTCAAGTCATTAGATTGAGGTGTCATGCCATCATCTTGATTTAGTGCATGTTCAACTAATGGTGCCAATTCATCATTAGACATTGTGGAGTCATGATAGTTTTGTATCCCAACAGCATGCTCAACATTCAATTGCTCTTCCTCAATCATTTATGCACTGTTAGGAAAAATAGCACCATTAGGTGAGTTATCTTTATAATGATTATATGGAAATATATGCTCATACAAGATAATGTCCCTTGAGATAGAAAATTCTCTCGTAGTTAAATTATATACACGTCAACCTTTCTGACCTTGAGGATATCCAATAAAAATGCAACGATGTGCTCTAGCTACAAATTTATCATGTGGCTTAGTTGGTGCCTTCATATAACAAAGACAACCAATTACTTTTATGTGCTCATATGAAGGAGGTTTTCCATATAACATTTCATATGGTGTAATTCCTTTGTTTGTAGTGGTAGGAGTCCTGTTAATCAAATGAACAACTACTAGAATGCACTC